GAGAATAGAGGAACAGTTTCGGACCTCTTCATCATAATGTCACAAAAACCATTGTAGAGTACACTAGGGGTGGGAGAGGGAGCCAATCAACACCAATAACTATAAGGAGCACTGATATGGAAGTGGTCTTCAACCACAGATACCCTGGTGTGCAGCCCAACAGTAAGTTGGACTGGAATACCCATATACAGGCGATGTACAGTAAGGAAGAAAGATTACTTTATTTCCTAACGAGCCTAAGGTTATTTAACATATGATGTTATCACATCATAGAATCCTATGTTTTGAGTACCATACCTTTTTTCTTGTGACCTGAGAAAGTTGCCTGGAAGCTGAAGACACACTGGGCAAACCATTTTTGTTCTGTCATTTTCAAAAGAGTTTATTGTTGCCTGAGTTAAAAATATAATGCGGACTCCCCATGAAGAAAGAATGGACTTCTCTACTGAACAATCTGAGGCTGCTGCTGTTGTAGTTATTGCTCTTTGATATGATGGCGGTGTAAGAAGGTTGCTTTATTTTCTACAAACTGTTCCTTTGCCTCCCGCATAGACGGTGAGGTGAAACTGAAGCACATTGTTGGGCTACTATAATAAGAGATAGCATTAAAGTGGCCCCTGGAGACCCATCATCATTATTGTTTTCCACATACATAGGTGCATTATAGTGCCCATAATGAACTGATGCTCTCTCAGCTCCACTGCATTCACATTGTGGATTTTGCTGTTTCAGACAGTTTGCACTGATTTTTAACTGTCCCGTGTTGGTTTTGGGGTACAAAAAAACGTATTAATAGTGATAATCTATGTGGAATATAGTAAAAAAAAAATGAATGAAGCTCCTGGTTTATTTGTTTTGTTTTGATTTGTTTTTTTTTACTTCTATCATTCATTTGATTCAGGGAGTGACTCACAGCCCCGTCTGGCCTGCAGAGGGCAGCATTAAGCCTTTCGCCTCACAGGAAAGACGGGCGGACACGTGACATGCAACAGGAAGTAAATAAAGTGCTTTCCCGCGCAGTTAAATTGGAACAGCAAGTCGTCTGCTTTCAAGGAGAATAAAACAAAATGGATGAGCTTTATTTGGATAATATTGACGAATACGTCAACGACCATAATAAAATAGTAAGTGCCTTCTTAATTCGCGGTATTTCATTTTGTGCGATGAGGTTTTCTGGCTGAACTAGAGCGTGAATTAGCTCTGGCTTCGACATGATTGGCTGCTGAACTCCGCTCAAAAAACTGCCGTTTTAACTTTGTCTGGTTTTCACGACAATTTATGTGTATCCAGTGGCATTTTTATCAATTTTAGGGATGTTCAGGGGTCTCCGTGTTAATTCGGCTCTGCTACGATGTAGTAAATGGCAGTTGAATTGAAGAAAAGCTTGTTTTTAGTTGACCAATTTCAGTTACTGCTGGAAACCGCCAAGTGCGTGACAAACACTGCTGTAGTAAAGACATTTCAAACACTGACATGAAGTCGATATTTATTTATATCTGATAAGTATTAGATATTTCCCAGCTCATGTAGCTTAATGGAAAGCAACAATAATCGGTACCTTAAAGAACAAAGACAATATTTGGATAATATTTATTATCCGTCATATAGTCTGTGTGTAAATACAAGTGTCCTGTGTGCTTTCTCTACACCAGGTAACCTATAAATGGCTGAGTCTCACTCTTGGAGTTCATGTCAACACAGCAAAACAGTAAGTGGTTACTTTGACATGCCAGGAACTAATAAAATAATATATGATACATTTTTTTTCCCATCTTCAAAATGTCTTGTTTGTCCAAGCAACAATCGCATATTGAAATTAATTAGGGTTTACTGAAGCACTGCATTTGACAGTAATAGTCCAGTGGAATGTCGCTTGAGTTTTTCTGCACTTGAGTTATACCGTTTTTGTTGTGATAGTGAGATGAAGACATGCACATGTTTGCATGTTTTGGCATGTGTGTGCATGCAAAAAAAGGTGCTTTGTGTGTTTTCTTAAAAAAAAAAAAAAGATCATTAACACTTTGTGTCATTGGCTGATAAATACATAAATGCCATAAACACCGATTTACCCAGGTGGCCCAGGTAAAGGCTCAGGGTGTGGGAAGTACATTTAAGTTGCGTCTTGTGTTCAGAATGCTGTACCATTACCTGGATCACAAGAGGAAGGAGAGTTCAGCTCAGCTGCATGCCACCTACCTTGTGTCAGGGAAATTTGTGGACAACGGTCAAACGGTGAGCCCTGTTGTAGCATTTTTTGTGATTTTTTTTTTTTTTTTTTTTTTTTTTTTTTTTTTTTCCTTTCCCTCTACATGCCCAAAGCTGCAGCTTTAATTATTTTTACACCATGTTTGCTTTTCAGAGTCACAAGGTGTCTGTTGTGAGAGAGGACCAGCTGGAAGGTGTGTAAATATTAATTCACATGACATCATTCGGTTGTGTTGCTCTGTAACAGCAAGGTTGGCTCGTTGTTTGATTCTAATTTTGAAAGTAATATCCTCGGTTCATAATCATCACCATCACTAAATAGTATGCTTTTATGTTAGTGAGTCTTGATTTTCTTTGTATTTTGTTTTATTTAATGACATATTTGTTGTAAATGAAGCAGCAGTGAGTCACGTTTGCCATTTTCTTCTGCAGATTTCAAAGCCAAGATGAGCTTGGTAGTCAGCGTGCACGTCTACAGCGTCCAGAGAGCGTTGCTTAGAGACAGCGGCCCACTTTACGCTGTGGACTACGACGCTGTAAAAGACAATCTTAAAAACTGCAGCAGGTACGCTAATCATGGTGTTTTTTGATTTGCAGTAACCAGTCATCAGCATTTTTACACCATCTGTGTAAAGATTAGTTTAGCCACTATTAGAATGAAAACATAATTAATCTTATTTATATTATTTAATAGTTATTTTGCTTTTCAGGTACAGCGCAATCCACTGTGCCAGCGCAGTGCCCATGTCTTCTGTGGAGCTGCAGCAGGCGAGGGAAGTCCAGCAAGCTCCTACACCTGAGCCTGAAAACAAAAAGGCTGGCATGAATGGAGACACCAGCCCAGTTTTAAAATCATCCGCCAAGCCTCCAAAAGGCATCATGGGAATGTTTGCTAACAAATCTGCTCCTAAGAGTCAGGATAAAACCAAAGAGATGAAGCCTGAAAAGAAAGAGGATGTACGACTTTGTCCTTGTGCTGCAGTCAGTTGCTCGAGTTTTTGCTCTGTTTGTTTATAAGTGTGTTTTTTGTATTTTAGATCGAAGCACCCAAAAGCAAACCAGTCGCAAAAGCCAATCCAGTGGCAAACTTTTTTGGGACTCAAACATCAAGTGAGTAATAATTAAAGTATTGTGTGTCTGGTGTACTTTATTAAAAGGGGGATTAAAATTCATATGTTCCATTTAGACTGCTGTTATTTTGTTTTAGGTTTCTATTTTAACCTTGAAACTGTTGTGCTCATAGTTTGTTATTATTATTATTATTACTAGTAGTAGTAGTAGTAGTAGTAGTAGTAGTAGTAGTAGTACTATTTTGCCACGATCACACTGCTCTGAAAGGCAGATCACACGATCTGCCTTTCAGAGCAGTTGTACAAATCACATCATTATATAAATAAATGTTGTCTTTGTCATGTTCTTGTTTCACATAAACCTAGTAAAAGCATCATAATTGAATGTGTTCCTCGCCATGGTGAAAAATAATCAGCGAGTAAGCCAACAAGTTTTTAAAAGAGTACCAAAGTGCTGCAGGTTGTAATTGGCAAAACGGTTTTGTCTTGCATAGAGTGTAAGGTTTTGAATGTAGAGGCTGTAAAGCAGAGGCCACTTGTGAACACGACCCAGAAACCCTGCCATCTTCTCCGCCAAAGCTCATTTAAAATAGTCCGAGGCAAAGTGGAAAACCTTTTCTGGTTAGAAATCAAAATGTTACATTTTATTTGGAAAACATGGATGCCATGTCCCAACTTTTTTTGCTGCCATGATCTGATGTTTTCAGTGTTTTGTTGTGAGTAATTGAGTTTGAATTTTAAATCAAGTTTCCACGTTTATCGATGTGCATGCTGTTTTGCGACATACAAAAGTAACCCAGAAAGATGAGCAGTAATTATTTGATTTGAATGTGTTTACTGAATAATTGTTCTTTTTCACTACTTCAGAGAAGCCAGAGAAACCTGTGAAGGAGGAGGAAGCACCTCAGTCATCTTCCAGAGCAGCGCAGCAGCTTGAAAGGTCAAAACCAGAGGAAAAGCAAGAAACTGTTGCTCCAGTGGAGCCACAAAAAGACACAAAGAAAGACTCCAGAAGGTGTGTGCTGGTATTCATGTGGGAAATGTGACCAATTGAATTAAATATTCCTTTCAGTACATGAGGAAATAGTTTTCTAATCATGAAAAGAATCCGCTTCCCTGTCTCTAATTGTTACTTAGAAATGTAATTTCAAAAGTTATAAAGGGTGTTTATTTCTGGCTTTAATCTAATTTAAATTATTTAATTCCTTTTTTTTTTTTTTATTAATAGCAAAACTAAGCGGCTAGAAGATTCTGACGGTGAAGAGGAGAAGATGGAGAAGAAAAAGAGGAGGAGGATTAAGAAACCCGAGCCAGACAGCAGTGATGAAGATGGTTATACTTTTATTTTATATTATTCTCTTATTCTGATGTTTTCTATTTTGAAAACCTATTAATTTTAAAAGTGAACAAACAGTGATATAATTGGATTAAAGATATAAATGTACATTTTGTATTAGTTTTGCTGCTGTAGGCACGCTAAAAGCAATTCTAAACATTGTAATTAATTGGATTAGCAAACAGCTTGTGAGGACAAAACTTTTATTTCAGTTCATTTCAGTCTTTGGAAAAAGAAGACGTTTCAAAATTGATAAGATAATCTGTTTTCCCCCTTCCAGTTATTCCAGACTCTCCACAGCCAGTCGTGACAAGAGAACCATCATCACCAAGTCCTAAAAAGGAGGTTGAACCCGACAGACATTCTCATGTAAGTGTTTGATACTCTAGTTTTGATATAACTGGAAACTTTGGTAGTTTTTTATTCATTTTTAATGTATTTTTTTATGTATTTAACTCTGAGCATGCGTCTTGTTATTCTACAGCCGAGCAGTGAAATGAAAATAAGGAAGCGAAGACGAGTCATGAAGTCTCATACCTTTGTGGACGGTGATGGATGCATGGGTATGAAAAACATACAACAGTGAAAATCCAACCAGTGCAGATCATAATCAAACACTTTTAATGTATTTATATATATAGTGCTACAGTATATGTGACTGTTTTTAAATAAAGAGGTCAGGGTCTGTACAAGTAATCGATATGAGACAAAAGCTCAGGGCTGGGAGATTTCTGCTGCTGTTGTTAATCCTGTCTGTTATTACGGAGAAAGGATATTCCTTATATGTTTACACTCAGGCGCTCAGCTGCTTCACTTGTTTATACTTGTTTATGAGGAATCTATGCATCCAGGGAAGAGCAGGAATATTCTGTGAGAAATGTGTACTTTCTAAAAATGCATTAGCCAGTGCTCAACTTAATTTTTTTTCTCTGAGAGATTTAATAGCTGCTTTTATATTTTTACAGGTCTGACTTTTATTATT